GACGGTAATCGCGTCTTCGATGTATAGATTAAAAACTAGCGGTGACAGTGTGCATCCCTGTCTGACTCACTTCCTAATATTTATTTCTCTACGTTGAAGCCCCATGTCTATAACTGCCTGTTGCTCTTTATACAAACTAAGTAACACTCTTCTATCTTTCTAACTCAACCCTATATTTTTAAGTATATTTAACATCTTGTCCGTACCAAAATTGAAAAAGTTTATCAATGTTTTTTTTGCAAGTAACTTTGAAATTAGTTGTTGTAAGAAGTCCTTCCACGTGAATGTAATCGTTACATTGTAATATAAATACTAGGTTGCAATGAAGTACAGCCCTGAACAGTAATAAACTAAAGGTCGATGCGGTAAAATTCCAATAATCCCATGTGCTTATATGTCTAGGACTTCTACAACAAGGGATTACCAAATATGTCGGATTATGGAATTATATACGTGTGCGAAGGTAATGTAATAAAAACGAGGACATTAGGTGTCGTATATGCACTTAAAATTAGGTTGAAATGTTGGTCGCCATTAATAAAATAAAGCAGTTCATTTTCTCAAATAATGCCAGTGAAATACAATGTTTGTGACATATTTTCCTATTCAATCGCCTAATGCTTAAAGGTTTAATCAACAAAAATCAAAGGAATTGTCATGAAAGAATGCTATTACATTTCAAATTTCATTACAAACAGTTGGACACTACCTTTGAAGATTATAAGGCAAAGTAACCAGGTACAAGTATCGTCTACGTTATAGGGTTTTTTCGCTGGGCAGTTGGAGGATTAGCGACAAAACAGGTGAACGTACTTTTTCAATGACAAAGTAGCGACAAATTGTAGCACATACAGCATATTTTTACGCCATTTCTATTTGGAGATACGGTAGTGTAGTAAGTATCAGCTTGAGACATCTCGAGTTAAAAATTCGCTAGAAATTTTGATGATAACACTAGCGATAAAATGGATAAAAGTGGCACCTTTCAACGACAAAGTATGGCCCTTAGAATATTTTTCTACGTTATTTCTATTTCGAGAAACACTATGTGTGGTACCAACTGGATAAAATCTACCCTATGTACCTTTACGTCGTCCTGACAATATGTCTACAAAATTTCATGATGATCGGTTGAGTAGTTACGGCGTGAAAAGCCGACAGACAAACAAACTCACATTCGGATTTATAATATTAGTTAGGATATTGTATCACGGTGAATGATGAGGATATCGTGGATAGAGAAGGTTAGAAATGAAGGGGTATTAGAAAGAATAGGAGAACAGAGGACTATGGAAAAAATTGGCGAAATAGATTGGCAGGACACTTTCTCAGCCATGAAGGTCTAGTCACAGACATATTAGAGGCAGAAACAGGCTTTAAGAGGAGTAGAGGTAGACCTAGATTGGATTACTGTTTGCAAATAGTTAAGCATGTGGGATGTTCTAGTTTTAGGGAAATGCGAAGATTAGCTGAGGATAGGAAGGAGTGGAGGTGCGTGTCCAACCAGTCTTAGGACTGACGCCCTTATGATGAAGATGATTGCATCATGCTTATTATAACGTCATTTACTCATATCTCAGAAACAAAACATATCTCACCTTGAAATATTGTATGCTCTCATTTATAATCATTTAGCATATAGACAATATAAACAATATTTAAGGATGAAAAAATAGGCAACTTTTGCTGTCACTCTTTTCTTAATGTTAGTGGATCTCTTAATACTTCTTGACTTTTCTTCAACTTTTTAACAAGATTTTTGCGAGTTTATGGAATTGTTTGCAGTACTTGGTGTAAAACAGTTCTTTGATTTTCTCATTCATTAATTAATTACTTAAAAACTGTAATTTAGGAATTCATAGTGTGCATGTTTTATTGTTTGCTAATATTATTTGTGAATGTAGGCTAGCTGTTGTTCAGATAGGTTGATGAACTCAAGCGATATATTTTACATAGTCGGTATTCGCTTGGTTGCCTTGGAATTAGATGTGAACAAGAACCGTATGTGCTGAAAACACAACAACGGTACTGATACACACAATACCCGACGGCATCGGGACGATGGCGGCGGCGGACGCGTGATGAGACGACGCTACGCGACGCGATGCGACGCTCCGACCTAGATATGCGAAAGTTTCCCGATAACGCTTTGTAATGAGAGTTTAAATTATGTGTCTAACAATCATCGGCACTTGCCTTCTATCTCTACGTAGACGTTTGGAGCAAGAAGAAAATTACTGATGCCGAGATATCAGCGGTAACTTCCGCAATTAATCAAACATAACCTAATTTTAACGGTTATTCATTCGATAATATACATATGCCGGTGTATGTGCGGTGGTTATATAGGTATGTAGGTGTAAGATAATGAAGGAAAATTGGCAGATGGCTGAAAAAGCTTTTCCTGCTACAATATTTATAGATGTACATATTTATGCTGTGATGGCTCTTGAGCACTCGTTCATGCTCTGTCAATTGCTAGGAAATTCGTAAAATAAACTTGAATTACTTGTACTCTGTTTACTTCTGAATTTTTTATAAAACATTCAATTACTATAGAAGACTTTTATTGATTTAATCTTCAGCGCTATACTAATCGATAACTAGTATTAAGTCAGAATAAAAATTCTGTAAATGTTTTGGTGAATTTAAGAAAAAAACATGCCCGAAACTATCATTTGAACACTTTATTGTTGTAATTCACACATTAGTTGGTGTAATGTTGTTCCTTTTTCTTTATTAGTGTTCGCTGCAATCCTCGCCTGACATCTCTTTTCTTTGTTTACGATATTCCCTACAACGTCTCTCCTGAGTAAAAATACGCCGTGTATCATGAATCGCTTTGGTCTAGTTAGTAAGTAAGACAATAAATGCGACAGTTTTATTATGGATTACGCCAATTTTGATATGAACAATATTTAGTACTTTTTAAATAAAATATGATTTAGCTCAACTTATTAATGTTGAACTTGTGCCTTAGTTTATGCGTGGTACCAACGATGAAGTTAAATGTCAAAATTTCGTCGAATACATTTCGATAAATAAATTTAAAAATGCAGTGGCCGATGGTCGAGATATGGCAATGGTTTGCACTAATTTTAAAAGATATTGTCAACCCTTGGCACCAACTAGTCGGTCTGACTGGTTGGTGCCGAGAGTTTAATCGAAAAACTTGGATAGTGCCCAGCAGTTTAAGATAACAAAGTCATACACACAAAGCTTTTTTTTTGTATTTTTATAAGTTACTTTATGAACTAACCCTCTAACAACTCAACGCAGGGGTTTTATTAATACCAGGGCCACATAGAAGGCATTTATCGGTTGAGCAACATTAAATTGTTGAGTAACTGTGATAATCAAATAACAACACAATTGCTATTTCTTAAAAGTGAACAAAAAGAAAAATTTAAAAAATAAATAATATTATAATTTCGTAAATAATTTAGTGGTTCACTATTTTATAACTTTTAAGTACTATCCTTCCACAATAGAATGCAGAAATTTCATTTTTTGTAGGAGTTAAATTTTGTGAGAAAACACAAGATAATAAAACAAAAAAAATCAATTTCCATTGACAAAATACTAAAAGAAGTTTACATTATGTAAACCTATTTTTGTTACTCGGAAAAAAAAACGGAAATACTGAAAAGGATCTATTGGATTGTATTATTATTATTATTATTATTATTATTATGTCCGTTATACATATTTACTAATATGATTTAATCTTTGATAGGACAAAGAATACAGTATATTATTATATTTTGCCAGATTATGATCAAATGATAGCGGCACTGAAGAACCACTTTCGGTGATGGTTCAGAATGATTGAAGTGTTTTTAGAGATATTTTCTTGATATACAATCAAAAAAGCACCAGGGTGTACAAAGATTTGAAAATTTCTAATTATTTCTAATACATCGAATAGTAGCATTCGAATTTTCTAATAATTCGTAAATTCGTTATATTTTACAAATAATCAATGGTAACTATAAGAAAAAAATTTTGGCATCAGCTCGCATTTACTTACCAAAAGTTGACCAATAATAACAGGAAAATGGAAAATAATAACAACAAAAGTAATACATTTTTATCATTATTCGCTTAAATTGTATTAGTTTTATCTAAAGTCGAAATTGTTAATTAGTTAAATGTAAAAATTTGTCGGCAAGAATTAAGCAATTTATTGGATGAATTATTCGAATATTGTAAAACATCCGACAGGTATTCCAATAGTACAACTCGATTCGAGTTGATAACTACTTCTTGTCATAGAAAAACATAAAAACAAACTAGTATTAATAAATGAATGTACCTCCCATTTAACACTAAAGGACAAATGATAATTGCAAATCTCAATTAAAAGATGTAGATTTTGTATTTTAGCATTATAGCGAAAAATTTAAATTTAAAATGTTTTTGTCACGCTATAATTCTAGTATATTATAGTTTTTATGATTTCAATTTGCGTTCATAATTCTCTTCTCAGTAAAGAAATAATAAAGCAATTTTTGCTTGAATAAGTTTACTAATTAGGGATTTTGGTGTTTTCAACGTAAACATTTATCTCATAATTGTCCATGACGTTGATGACAAAATATATGTGTTAAAGATGCGTGTGTACGTACAAGTAAATGTAACTTTCACGAATAACATGAATGACTTGACGCAATCAAAATGCAAATATAATTTGTCCTTTAGCGAAAAGACCAGGCGATGTTTTGGTGAATGCGCGCCTCAGAACCGGTAACGCTGGTCTTTAAGATTTCCAGCATACGTAGGGTATTGATCGCCCATTCCTATCTCTTCCATATCACGTTGCTCGCCATCATCCCCATCCATTCATTAATTTCCGCAGATTCTAAACCGCCTTATCAAAAATTTTCGCCAATACTTAATACACATAGTACATATGCGAACAGACTAGATACATAATATGAAAAGGATAAAGCCCACAGAGACATCGACGAAACGGTAGATGTGAATGAAAGATGACTTACTATTTGGTGGGTGTACTAAAGATGAGAAAGACAATAGAACTCTTCGTTGCAAAAGTAGTTCTTTCACAGCCATTTTCACAGTGGTTTTATTTACTGTTTTCCTTTTGTAACTTTAATTTCGGAATCGTGTCGTCGTGTGTAATGGCTTGCGTCCGAAAGCTAAACCGCCGGCACTAACCCCAAACATCCTAGACGTCGTACTTTACCACACTGACTGTGGAGGCGTCTCTGACGTCACGGGCATGCGTCCCCTTCGCATTGCTATGTACTGGTCTGTGGAAGATACATCCTTGCCCCGACAATTTTGCTCGGGGGATGTACCCGATATGGTCAATATTCCAAAGGGACTTTGCCCAACTCTTGTGGACATTCCTTTTGTCATCATTCCTAACGGAATTGTGAGCTGAAATTTCTCGTCTACGGAGCACTTTGGCAGTCGGCGGCGATTACGATAAAATATATAAAGGAGCCGGTATTTCATTGATGATTATATCGATTGAGGGGAGCGTGGGAGTGATGATGTCATATCTGGGGTTGAACGTTGTAAGTGTATGTGTGTGTGTACATGCGCGTGGCTGCTTTCGTCAAAATAGCAGCAGCTTTCTCCGAAAGCAATTGACGTCAGCAGACGTGAATGGGTTACCAGGGCAACGGTGTTTTGGACGCATTAGGACGATGCAAAGCGTAGACGTTGTATCGATAATGCACAAAAAAATGGGTTCGTTCTGCAAAGAGGGAAGGAGAAGGAAAGCGATCGGCCAACAAACGTTTCCGTGGGTCATTAGTGGAACGCCAGATGTTCCGACATGGCCACTGTAACAACCGCAAAATTTGAATTTCCATAATGAGGGTTCAGACTGAGGAAAAACGGGAATGACCGAAATATGCAGAAATTTCAAATAATCAATCAACTTCCCTACACCGATAAACCTGGAATCGTTATCTAAATTAAAGCCATTATTCTAAATAATGTCTTTGTTTTTCTTGTGCTATTCCATTCACGAATTCCACGAGAAATTGGAAAGAAAAACCAATCGATTTCTGTTTAACCTTACGTTTAATTATCATGATCGTAGGGTCGTCAGTCCTAAGACTGGTTGGACACGCACCTCCACTGTTTCTCATTCTGAACTAATCTTCGCATTCTCCAAAAACTAGAACGTACCACATCCCTAACTGTTTGTGAACAGTAATGGATCTTAGGTTTTCTTCTGCTCTTTGTAACTCCTGCTTCTGCATCGGACATGTCTGACCCTTCAGGTCTGACCACCTCGCCTATTTCTTATTGGTTCTGTTTTCGGCGAAGAACACATGGACACTCTTCACTATAACCAGAGTCAATAAAAAGTAGAAAATTTTGCGGTTCCTGACCCATTCGTCTTCCTGATGCCCTATTCTAGTTGGGTCATTTCCTTAGTAAAGATTCGTGGTTTTTCAAATATTCCTTTTCTGTCTGCAATAGTAACTATTTCTTGCAAACAAGGCTCAAACCAGAGGTTTTCAGGATTTCAACCATCTTGCCCGTTTATGAATTTAAGATCTTCAGAAACTCATGTATAATTAAATATAGGGTTGTTCGGAAAGTCATTTCGTTTTTTCCCGACAGAGGATTTAATTGTTTTCTTTTGCACCCAACTTCACATTTAAGCCGTTTAATTTTTATATGCTTTGAGAGCTCATATAGCAAGGCTTGTGTGTGAAAAATTCCAATTAATTCTACGCAGTAGTTTTTGGTTGGTGCCCTTTTAAATANGTAAAATTGCAGGTGTTATAACTTGCATACTATTCAAAATACGATTGCTAGATTTTGATAATTTTGTTTGAAGAGGACGGGGATAAAATAAATATAGTCCGATTTTTTGTAAGGGTGCTCTCTACCCTTTCTTTTGAATCTAAAGTTTTGCAATTTCCGGTAGTAAAATTGCAGGTGTTATAACTTGCATACTATTCAAAATACGATTGCTAGATTTTGATAATTTTGTTTGAAGAGGACGGGGATAAAATAAATATAGTCCGATTTTTTGTAAGGGTGCTCTCTACCCTTTCTTTTGAATCTAAAGTTTTGCAATTTCCGGTAGTAAAATTGCAGGTGTTATAACTTGCATACTATTCAAAATACGATTGCTAGATTTTGATAATTTTGTTTGAAGAGGACGGGGATAAAATAAATATAGTCCGATTTTTTGTAAGGGTGCTCTCTACCCTTTCTTTTGAATCTAAAGTTTTGCAATTTCCGGTAGTAAAATTGCAGGTGTTATAACTTGCATACTATTCAAAATACGATTGCTAGATTTTGATAATTTTGTTTGAAGAGGACGGGGATAAAATAAATATAGTCCGATTTTTTGTAAGGGTGCTCTCTACCCTTTCTTTTGAATCTAAAGTTTTGCAATTTCCGGTAGTAAAATTGCAGGTGTTATAACTTGCATACTATTCAAAATACGATTGCTAGATTTTGATAATTTTGTTTGAAGAGGACGGGGATAAAATAAATATAGTCCGATTTTTTGTAAGGGTGCTCTCTACCCTTTCTTTTGAATCTAAAGTTTTGCAATTTCCGGTAGTAAAATTGCAGGTGTTATAACTTGCATACTATTCAAAATACGATTGCTAGATTTTGATAATTTTGTTTGAAGAGGACGGGGATAAAATAAATATAGTCCGATTTTTTGTAAGGGTGCTCTCTACCCTTTCTTTTGAATCTAAAGTTTTGCAATTTCCGGTAGTAAAATTGCAGGTGTTATAACTTGCATACTATTCAAAATACGATTGCTAGATTTTGATAATTTTGTTTGAAGAGGACGGGGATAAAATAAATATAGTCCGATTTTTTGTAAGGGTGCTCTCTACCCTTTCTTTTGAATCTAAAGTTTTGCAATTTCCGGTAGTAAAATTGCAGGTGTTATAACTTGCATACTATTCAAAATACGATTGCTAGATTTTGATAATTTTGTTTGAAGAGGACGGGGATAAAATAAATATAGTCCGATTTTTTGTAAGGGTGCTCTCTACCCTTTCTTTTGAATCTAAAGTTTTGCAATTTCCGGTAGTAAAATTGCAGGTGTTATAACTTGCATACTATTCAAAATACGATTGCTAGATTTTGATAATTTTGTTTGAAGAGGACGGGGATAAAATAAATATAGTCCGATTTTTTGTAAGGGTGCTCTCTACCCTTTCTTTTGAATCTAAAGTTTTGCAATTTCCGGTAGTAAAATTGCAGGTGTTATAACTTGCATACTATTCAAAATACGATTGCTAGATTTTGATAATTTTGTTTGAAGAGGACGGGGATAAAATAAATATAGTCCGATTTTTTGTAAGGGTGCTCTCTACCCTTTCTTTTGAATCTAAAGTTTTGCAATTTCCGGTAGTAAAATTGCAGGTGTTATAACTTGCATACTATTCAAAATACGATTGCTAGATTTTGATAATTTTGTTTGAAGAGGACGGGGATAAAATAAATATAGTCCGATTTTTTGTAAGGGTGCTCTCTACCCTTTCTTTTGAATCTAAAGTTTTGCAATTTCCGGTAGTAAAATTGCAGGTGTTATAACTTGCATACTATTCAAAATACGATTGCTAGATTTTGATAATTTTGTTTGAAGAGGACGGGGATAAAATAAATATAGTCCGATTTTTTGTAAGGGTGCTCTCTACCCTTTCTTTTGAATCTAAAGTTTTGCAATTTCCGGTAGTAAAATTGCAGGTGTTATAACTTGCATACTATTCAAAATACGATTGCTAGATTTTGATAATTTTGTTTGAAGAGGACGGGGATAAAATAAATATAGTCCGATTTTTTGTAAGGGTGCTCTCTACCCTTTCTTTTGAATCTAAAGTTTTGCAATTTCCGGTAGTAAAATTGCAGGTGTTATAACTTGCATACTATTCAAAATACGATTGCTAGATTTTGATAATTTTGTTTGAAGAGGACGGGGATAAAATAAATATAGTCCGATTTTTTGTAAGGGTGCTCTCTACCCTTTCTTTTGAATCTAAAGTTTTGCAATTTCCGGTAGTAAAATTGCAGGTGTTATAACTTGCATACTATTCAAAATACGATTGCTAGATTTTGATAATTTTGTTTGAAGAGGACGGGGATAAAATAAATATAGTCCGATTTTTTGTAAGGGTGCTCTCTACCCTTTCTTTTGAATCTAAAGTTTTGCAATTTCCGGTAGTAAAATTGCAGGTGTTATAACTTGCATACTATTCAAAATACGATTGCTAGATTTTGATAATTTTGTTTGAAGAGGACGGGGATAAAATAAATATAGTCCGATTTTTTGTAAGGGTGCTCTCTACCCTTTCTTTTGAATCTAAAGTTTTGCAATTTCCGGTAGTAAAATTGCAGGTGTTATAACTTGCATACTATTCAAAATACGATTGCTAGATTTTGATAATTTTGTTTGAAGAGGACGGGGATAAAATAAATATAGTCCGATTTTTTGTAAGGGTGCTCTCTACCCTTTCTTTTGAATCTAAAGTTTTGCAATTTCCGGTAGTAAAATTGCAGGTGTTATAACTTGCATACTATTCAAAATACGATTGCTAGATTTTGATAATTTTGTTTGAAGAGGACGGGGATAAAATAAATATAGTCCGATTTTTTGTAAGGGTGCTCTCTACCCTTTCTTTTGAATCTAAAGTTTTGCAATTTCCGGTAGTAAAATTGCAGGTGTTATAACTTGCATACTATTCAAAATACGATTGCTAGATTTTGATAATTTTGTTTGAAGAGGACGGGGATAAAATAAATATAGTCCGATTTTTTGTAAGGGTGCTCTCTACCCTTTCTTTTGAATCTAAAGTTTTGCAATTTCCGGTAGTAAAATTGCAGGTGTTATAACTTGCATACTATTCAAAATACGATTGCTAGATTTTGATAATTTTGTTTGAAGAGGACGGGGATAAAATAAATATAGTCCGATTTTTTGTAAGGGTGCTCTCTACCCTTTCTTTTGAATCTAAAGTTTTGCAATTTCCGGTAGTAAAATTGCAGGTGTTATAACTTGCATACTATTCAAAATACGATTGCTAGATTTTGATAATTTTGTTTGAAGAGGACGGGGATAAAATAAATATAGTCCGATTTTTTGTAAGGGTGCTCTCTACCCTTTCTTTTGAATCTAAAGTTTTGCAATTTCCGGTAGTA